CGGAAGCGGGTAGATCGTACTCGTTTGAGTTAAAAAGCTTTGATGCCATAAAGAAAAGTAAATATTGAGGTGTAAAGATATGCTTTATATATTAGAAATTGACTGGTTTTTTTTACACACGGATTACAATGAGAGCTGCAATGTATATATACATAAACTAAGGTCTATTAATGGTAAATTAATATACAAGGTGTAATAGCATAATTTCAGCAATCGCGTCCATGATTTGTGCTGGTAAACTGATTGTGTCACGAATCCTTTACAGTTACAAACTGACCGAAAAGAAACATCACTTGATCTTTGAAGAGGATTTCCATCCATTAATTCCCAATATATGAAAACAATTTCAGAATGGTGGGCGGGTTTGTCTGTGAGTGATTGTGGGAGGGGGGAGAATGAACATTAAAGTATAACAGGAAAAAGGAGTAAAAAAGAGTATAGAGAAATGAGCAAGTAATAGAATCTCATGTTTAAAAAAAATGACATAACAAATGATGCCAGAACTATTCAAAAAGGATCTTATTAAGAAGTGATTAGATAACGAAACAAACAACTCGAAACCTTCTGAAAAGACACTAATAACATACCTCGTTGATGCATGACAACAAGTCTAGCCAACGAGTTGCTGCATGTTGGATCCTTCTTTAAAATGTCCTCAAAGCATGTATAGAGTTTCACATTGTTTATGCCACTAAAATGCTCCAAGAGAGCAGCTTTCATTCTGCAACAAATGAAACCAATTTGTTCAAATTACACTTGCATACACATACACATACACTTGCATTTTTGTTTCATATCATAAATGAAATGACTCAGAAAACCAAATATAACTAGCTTCCTAAAGCGTACACTAAAATCCATCTTGCAACATCACAATACATCCCAGGTTCTTTCAGCACATCACATGAATTCCAGGCGATAAATAGAAACAATGTCGTTTCTTCTAAACTATTTCACAAGTACTATTTTTCTACGAAATACCAGCCATAGATATGCCTTAATCATTACAGGATCAAAGATTTACAAGTGTAATTCAATGAGNACCAGCCATAGATATGCCTTAATCATTATAGGATCAAAGATTTACAAGTGTAATTCAATGAGTTAAAAATAGGACTCAACAAGAACTTGGAAGAATGACTTGCAAGAAAAGAAACCTCATAAAAGAAAGATTGACAACCCTTTCAACTATAAAAAGTTTGAAAGAAATAATTCAAGGGTAGTCAACAAATAGGACACATCTATAATCTCACTATGTCGAGTTGTTCTATAACTGAAATTAACAGTGTCTCATTTAACGAAATGATCCTACAAATATGAGAACATTTTAGAGAAAGAAAGATCGCATTGTTGATAGGTTTAATTTTTATTAGTTTAAAAAGAACTTGTCAGAAATTCATGTTATTTAAACAAAATGGTCCTCTACATACAAAAGATCCCCACGACAAGATAAGGATATTCACATTGTTTAAAATAATATTGGAGGTTTACGTGTCAAATCACGCATAATGACAGGCTTTCAGAAAACACATCGAATCCTGCACATTTCTGAGGCTTATGCCTCATGACAAATAAGGTATTGCGTCGTTTCATAAACATTTCACTAGCCTTGCATTTTTAGGTTTGTTCTTTACTACCTAGAATGTTTTAGGGGTGAATTCTTTTATTTCACTCTTTTTCTATTTATACAGAAAGAGAAGAGGAAGACAATACACCATTGCAAGTGGCGGATTATGACGAAGAATGAGAACAAATTAAGAGTGATCAAGAGGATGCTGATGATTCTGTCAAAAATCTATTAGAAGTGAGGATGCATTAGATTTCTAATTGTTTCAACTTCTTGTAGTAGAATACAATTTTATTACTTGATTATTAATTTAAGACTTGTTTCTAAACTACTCTATCCATCTATTTCATGTTTCTTTCCAAGTCGAGCATATTTTCGTATTTTTTATTTTTGAATTAGTTTATTGGAAAGCCTCTGATGAAGCCTTTTTAATCATCCAATATTCAAGGGAATTTCTTATGCATATTTAGTTATCCTTGTTAATTCCACATCCGGCATTTATGGGCATTGTTACTACCATAACATTCATTTTTATAGAGTTCTTGTAAAAGCACCTACTATCTTACTAACTAAATAACAGAAATGTAGCATCTAATTCATTGTCTTATTCTTTTCTCAAACTGTATCACATTATTATTTGAATGCCAATAATAAAATAGTCCCTAATCAGTGCAGTTTGTTTTGCATCCTCGGAAGCAGCAACTGATATTTTGCAGAAGAAAACCATTACCTTAACTGGAGCACTGTATCTGAAATTTTAAATGATTTTTCAAGTTCATCAAGAGCCTCGTTGAGCTGATCTCCGAGAAGAAGCATCTGCCAAAATAACAAAGATGGAATCTGTTCTAATTAAAAAGAAAAAGTAATTGACTGCCTGAATTGGAAAACTAGCACACAATCAATAATTGAAGGGGCTGCGCTTCTATTTGTTATGACAAAACATAACTGCGACCGTTGATTTTTTACTTGCACAGCTTACTTTCTTTTTGCTGTGTTTTCTTATGAAAATCTACCCACTAATTCTACTATGCAATGTTGACTGTATAGTTCTGTAACATTCTATACGACCGGAAAACTCTGTTGCTTCAAAAGTAATTACCTAAAATGTAAAACAGTTTCTGAATTAGCAATAACCTTGTATGGACACAATTGATTCTATTTTCATCCAACCTTTGAGTAAATGCAGCATTAAAACAAAACAAGAGGCAAAATTTTACGTAGCTGACACTGAGTTTAGGAGCTACATTTGAACTGGACCAGGTATATTGATTTAAATATTGCCTTAAACAATTGGGGTATATATCGCTGTATAAGGAATGGTAGCTGGATTTTAGAAGCAAAACGGAATTCTACTCATTTTCAAAACAAATAAGCCATTTGATGAATATGACAGACAAATGCCATACAAAGCATAATAACTGCAGTACCTGTATTAAAGGGTGAAAAGCCTCAATTATTGGCACTGTCGATTGAAGGGAAACAAGCAAATGCTTCAACGCACTCTTATAGTAGTCATTATGAAATTTCCTGTGCTTATTCATCAAACCTTCATAAGTTTCACGAGAGGTGGGCAAATGCAAAGGTAGTAGCCATGAAGGAAGACCTACATTTTCCAATATATTCATGAACGTAATTGAAGCATGACATAAAGGTACATTTTCTAAAAATTGTGCAATCAAATCAACCTAATTCAAAGAATTTGTGGTCACTTATGCCAGACGCTGCTATTGATGAAGATGTTTGTATAGTATAGATGATTAGTTATGAAAATTATGGCCCTGTTCTATGTACTCCTATGCATACAGAACAAGGAAATTTACTTTTTGTTTGAACACCTAACAAGATAAACAAACATAAAATGCATGCAGCAACAAACAATTTAGTCGCTAAAAAAGGTCAATGCAGTTGACCGACAATATAAAACTAGAACCCAGACTTGTCAGGTACAAATACATAATATACATTTTGAGATTAAGAGGTAGAGGAAGGAATAAACATAGAGGACCTGCAAATTGCCTAAACATCACAATTGTGGACAGGAATAAATTAGTGAAACAGAGAATATTTGGACGTTAGCTAGATATATCATCATACCTACAGAATTGCACCTATCAGAAGTTAAAAAAGAAGACGTGAGAGAGCACAAGGTCTGAAACTCACCACGAGTGTCAAAAATAGACACATGAGGC